AGTGCTCGTCTTGTCGAGCGACTCCAGCGCGAGTTCTCCAGTGTTAGTCCGACCATTGCAGTCCTTGGCGGAAAACGTTTTGCTTTCTTGAGGAAGGTCTTCAGCCGCCCCGAGTTGAGGAGCAACATTATCGGACCCGGGAGAACATACGATCTCAAGACCCTTGATTCCCGGCTCTTTTGCAGCCTCCTCGATATCATTTTTCACGTTTCCAAGCTCGACCGGCCAGTTCAATCTTTCAGCTTCGATGAGAGGCTCCACTTTATCTCTCGGCGCTGTGTTGCTGCGACAGAGGAAGGAACCCATGGAGATGGAGTCCAGAGACCTGTTTTTACCACACCTGTAGAATATCAAATCTGCCACGACCTCCGACCCCATACCCAAAAGTGCATCCGTCCCCTCGGGAGAAATATCCATCGAGTCGATGATCTCGCCAACTTCCTCTTCCGGCAAGATTTTCTTGAAGTGTTGCTTGAGGCTATTCTCCGTCCAGTCTTTGCTCGGTCCCCGAAAGTATACGAGCAAATCTCCGCACCTCTGAGACAGAAAGTCCATGGAGAGAATTTCCATAGGCGAGTAAAGCCTTCGAATATCGAGCTCCTTCTCCTTGACGTAAGGCGGGCTCAACATGCAAGCCTCGAAGAAGAGCTCAGCCACCACCCCTGATACGAACTTAAACTCTGCAGCATTCCCGTCGCGTGAAACCATGACGAGCTCAGCCTCTTCCGGAACAGCCTCAAATCGGCCATGAACCAGTGCCTTTAGATCCGATAGCTCGCAGCTCTTTGGAACATCTTCAGCAACTATCTTCCACTCGTAAGCTTGACGAACCGGAACTGGTGGTGGAAATCCTGGTGGAAAGCCAGTATCACAAGACTCCTGTTCCATATCACAAGTATCCTCGAGCTCTTTCAGCTCTTGAAACTCCTGTAAGCCCCCAAGATCCCGTAAGTCCCCGAGCTCCAGCAACTCCTCATCCTCTAGCATAGAAGTTGACGCAAAGTTTGCAAAGCTTTCCTGCCCGTCCTTGTGATGCTCTTCGGCAGAAGTCGAAGGCAAAGCGAGCATGGGAATGTTCTCCTGGACGTTCCTGTGTGCTTCATGCGAGGCATCCAAGTTTTCAGCATCCTGCTCGGCCTCCTCCTCGCCCAGCCGTGGCTTGAATCGAGAGCATCTCGTCAAAGGAGCAACTCGCTTCCTCTTTTTCCCGATTCGAGTCAGCGGCCAGGACGCTTGTTGCAAGAGTGGTCTCGGAGCAGCGACACGCGCCACCTTGTTCTCGACGCATCTCTTCAAAAGGAGAACCTCACGTATCACAGGCTTGTAGCCCCTGGCTTGGATCGTTTCCAGGTTTCCCTGGTATTCCTACGAAGAAAGAAAAGAAAGAGAGCTAGACGTGAAAAACGAAGACAAAGAAGAAGAGACGAACCTCTAGAGCCCTGGCAGCGCCAAGCCGGACACTTTCCTCGTCAAACAAGCTCTTTATCGGCTCTCCGGGAGCGATGGCATACCTCCGCCTGAACGCCGCCTCGTTGAGCTCCATTCCCCTAAAGATCCTCGCTATGCGATCGATTTGCTCCATCCCTACGAAATCCGGCAGCTTTACGACCCAGATTTCCTTGCGTGCGCGAACTTACCCCGGGCAAGCATCTCACGATCGCGAGAAAGAACGCGAGCTCCAGCTCCGTGGGGTGGAAAGGCGGCAACCCTAAACTAGCACGCTAGTTCCGTACGCTCGTACTATTTTAAATTTTGGACAGCCGCGCGCCATATTTTCGTTAGACCCTTTTAAATCGCTTTCACGCATTTTCGGACAACTTAGCAAATTACGTTTAGAGATACTACCCATGCATATACGCCAGTTTGACCGAGAAATCCTCGTGATATACGCTGTATGGCATAGCTATCAATGGATCGATCAATAGCCAGTGTCGTATAGACGTACGCCGAGGGCGTGGTCTATTCCTTTGATCCCAAGATCATTCTTACCTATTGACATGGTTTTTACTCCATGCAAGAGGGGTCACTTTTCCAGATTTAATGTGATTGCCCAAGACAAGCTATGAATGTTCCTGGCTGTTCGTTAGTTTTTCGCTGTGAAATCCTACAAGAGTTTTCCCCTTTTCTTGACCAGCAGTACAGATTATACACTGTCAGTTTGAAAAATCTGTATATATGTGTATAAAATACAAACAGAACAGGGTCCTTGAAACTTTGATATCTTTTTCGTTGTGGCCTCTTTTTTCCTGATGTGTTTGAAGAGTGCTGGTGGAGTGAATTGAGTGGAGCAGTCATCTTTTTTGAAGGGGTCAGAAATAGCGACACAGACAACTCTTTTATGGGTGGTGTCCAAACACTTCTTCAGTAGAGGAGCAAGAGTTTTCTTTCATGACAGCTTCGCTCCAAGTATATATACATAAAATATTTCAGGAATTTATATGATATAATCTGTGGATGGATCGTTCGTCGGTGTTTGCTGCGTGAAGACCAAAAGAGGAGAAATTAGCTGTGCGTTTGTGTAAGGGGATGTGACACTTTGGTTGGGTGTTTTTGGTCGTGGGCCGGTCTTTGAAAGCCTTGCAGTGCTCGCAGCTCTGATATATCCTGTTGAGATGTTGAGCTGTTTGGAGCCTGTGTGTCGCGTTACGGACATTGAAGCTAGAGCTCTTCCATTCCATAGAAAATCCGGCTGAGCGCGTTCACAGTAGTCTCCATAATGCTGTTTGACAAAACGTATCATCGTTAAAGAAATCAACTATATGATTCCTGATTTCAAAGGTTTCTGGACCTGGATTTGACTGAAGAGTCAAAAAGTAGTGCGTTTTCCCTGGAAGATAAATAGCCAGACTACCGACCTTTCTGCAGCGAAACAGAGCGATGGTGCTATAATATGTGGGGAACCCAGAGGTTGACAGCGGCCAGATTGATCCTGGCGTACGATCTCTGTGTACGAGCATCACCCCCATGTTTCCTTGAACAGCAGCAGCAAAACAAAGTCGCATTCTCGCCACTATGAAACAAGTATCTTGTGGTGGTGCATGATCACGAATCCTTAAGTTTTGGTTTAGTGGAATCTCCCAAGGATTTGATTATTCCGTGCAACCGGGCGTACCACAGATCCTGGAATTGCTCCATGATTACTGTGGGTGGTGGTGGCCTCATTAAAAACAAGACTTTGGATGTTTTCACTTCAAGCTCTGGCTCCAAAGTTGACAACGAGTTTGTTGTTTGTTGTCTGCACGGCAGGGCAGCAGGACATTCCACTTTGCTGCGACGCTGGAGGCTCGCAAAAGCGCCCGAATATTCGCCTGCCACCTTGTTTCAAGGGCTTTGCTTTCGCGTTGTTGTTTATCGAGAAAGGGGGGATCAATCCCTTTGTCGGAGCGCAATGATTATCAACACATGATCAGCAGCATTATTCAACATTTGTGGTGCACATGGAAAATAAAAGAGAGTAAAATTGAGTTGGAAAACCAAAATGCATGCAACAAAGAGCAAATGCTTGCTGGCTCGCCCCTTGTTTCAAGTACAAGCAGTTGCCCTAGTTTCTCATGTTTACTATTAATTTTGCATTAGAGGATTACTATAAGTAGATGACCATTTCTTTTACTCCTACTCTGAGAATGGAAAGGTGGCCTAGGTTGAATTGCGCGGGATTCTCGCCACCCGGCAAAATCTAGTCACGCTGGCCTAGATTCGCCGTGCTTGATGATAACCATGCATCGGAATGCCCATGCTAATTCCATCCCTAACAATGATTATGTTCGCATTAGCAACTTATCTAGAAGACGAGGTTGGTAGGGGCACAACATTAAATGAGTTTGTGATTTGTCAACCTCTCAAGAAAGAGCATTGCACAAATGCTTTTCACGTTTCGGTTCATATTAAGTTGTCATAGTAGATAGAGATATTGTTTAGTCATGGGATTAGACAATGGATTTTCTAGCAATTAACACAACTATTTGTTCTTAGCACAAGGAAAGAATGGAGATGTTGATAGTTTTAAAAGAGAGAGGCCATGTGCATGTGGTTCATGACTATTGATCATGAGGTATCGGTCAAAGAGCAACAGGTTACAACACAGAGAGTGAAAACAAAATGAAGAACTTTCAGCCACACATCAATTTCTACCAACTGGATTTTGCATTTCCACTGAAGAAGCAGAAGTGAGAACTGGCATATGTATGGTCATTTGAGCTGGCAGAAAGTATGAATATGCCTTGGATGCTTCTGTGCCTCTAGAGCTCTATGATGTTCAAGTTGATGATGATGATGGTGAATGATGGTGGAGTGGATTTGGAGAGGGGTTGAGATAACTGACTTGACTGCTGGTGGTGCTCTGGTTCCTTCTGCTGCTGTGGTGATGGTGTTGTTGTTGGATGGCTGGCTGGAGCTCTCTCCTTTGAGCTCTTTTAGTCCCTTTCAGCTATCTACTTAAAAAACTTTAAATAAATTCTTACAGGGACAGGGCTGAACATTCAGCTACTTACCTAGGTAGTGAGGATAGTAAAATGGGGTGGAGGGATTTCTCACAGCCTGGGCCTATCTATCCCTTCTCTTGATCAATCAGAAGCTGCATTTGAAAATCCTCAATTCATGATCATTCCCAATCCAATCTTCCAGGAAGAGTGCTAGCCAGTTGTGTGAGAACAAGCTCCCCCCTCTTCTCTCCTCCCTTTCCAGCACACACTTGATATGGAAGATGGGATCCAGGCTTGGTGGTGCAGCAGGGAGGGGAGGAGCTAAAGCAAAAGAGGGGTATGCTCAGGTGGAGGAACAGAGCACATTGAGAAGCACAAACCTTGAGGGGAAGGGGCGGCAGCTGGAGCAGCAGCAGTGGTGGTGTCTTTTCGTTTTCTCCTTGCTTGACATTTATATTTTTTTGTTTTCTTGCTTCTCCTTGCCCAGGGAAGTGCTTGATGATTTTTGTATGAAAACAGCAAAGATGGCAGTGGTGGGCAGGCCTTTTGTAGTACCATGGACACACACTGTGGTGGTGGAGGTGGTGGTGGTGGTGGACTGCATTTCTAGAGTAGTATAGTTGTTGGCATCTCCTTGTTCTTCTCCTTTTGTTCTTGTTCTTTCTCCTTTCTCTCATTCATTAGGTGCACCAATAAGCAAAGCCAAAGGCCGTTCAAAGGAAAAGAATCAAAAAGGAGAAGAGGGAAGGAGAAGCGGAAGTGTCAAACCTTGCACACACACTGGTTTTTATTTTCCCTGGGCATAGTTTTTTTCTTGAGTCTTTATATTGCTTTTCGCGGCTGCTGCTGCTGCTGCTGCTGCTGATGGATGGCTTGCTGGCTGGCCGGGAAATGGTTTTGGGTTCGTTGGGCTGCTGCTGGTGATCTATCAATTCTGCTCCTATCTCAAGAACAGAACCGAAAAAGCCAACACCAGCCACTTGATTGATGATTGGGAAGAAGAAGAAGCACAAGAAGAGACAACACGCATTCATTTCTCAAATGATTCTTCTCCTGTGGGTTGGATTCAAGGGATTCAGCTGGAAGATCAGCATCATCATTGATTCATGTGGGTGGGATCGTGAAAGCAAGGGGAAATTGGATTTGTGGCATGGTCAGCCTCCCCTCAACGCAAATGCTCCATAGGTAGCAGCAGCAGTAGTACACACTCAAAAAGTCAGTAGCATCACTAGGATCAGCAAAAGCATTCTTTTGGTGGGGTGGGGTGGGGAGGACTTATGCATGGCTGATCAAGGCACCGCCAGTGCAATTGTCCCACTTGTGGTTGCAGCAGCATCATCGTCCTCAGCAGGATTGACATCACCAGCATCAGGGGCAGCAGCAGCAGCAACGCCACCGCCGCCGCCAACACTTGAGATCGAACAACAGCAGCCGCAACAGCAGCAGCAGCAGCAGCAGCAGCAACTCGAGGCCTTGGACAGCAGCCGGGGTGGAGGCGGGGGAAGCCGGGAATACAGGAAGGGCAACTGGACGCTCCAGGAGACGATGATCCTCATCCAGGCCAAGAAGATGGACGACGAGAGGCGGCTCAAGGGCGGGGACAAGGAGAAAGGCAAATCGGCCGAGTTCCGGTGGAAATGGGTGGAGAACTTCTGCTGGAGGAAAGGGTGCCAGCGCAGCCAGAACCAGTGCAACGACAAGTGGGACAATCTTCTCCGGGACTACAAGAAGGTGAGGGAGTTTGAGTCCAAAGTGATGGCCGGATCATCCTCTTCGGCTGCTGCTGCTGCTGCTGCTGGGGCTGCTCCCGTGGTGAATCAAAAGAGCTACTGGCAGCTGGAGAAGCACGAGAGGAAAGAGCGAGGGCTGCCGTCAAACATGATCATCCAGGTTTACGAGGCCCTTCACGAAGTTGTGGACAAGAGACCACGGCCTCTGCTGCAGCAGCAGGCTCAGGCTCAGGTTCAGGTTCAACAGCAGGTTCAGCAGCCGTTCCCGCAGCAGATTCCCCTTCACCCCCAACAACAACAGCAACAAATCCATCAACTCCACCAACACCAGCAACATCACCATCAACAACAACATATTTTTTCTCAAGTTCACTTGCCTGGACCAAGTAGTGCTGCTGCTGGAGTTCCACTCCAACAAGCTACAGGTATCTCTTTTTGCATCTTATGCTTTTTGCTTGGAATTTTCTTTGCATGATGAACGCTAAACATTGTTTGACCTCCACCACTTTGGTTTTCTTCTTTTCCCTCCTCCAGAGGTTTCGAAGAGCACCGAGAGCGAAGGCAGCGAAATGGAGCGATCGCCGTCGGGGAAGCGTCGCAAAGTTTCCCGAGAACAAGGCTTGGCCCCGACGGTGTCAAAGAGCGCCTACGAGCTCTCGCAAACGCTGCTAGCCTGCGAAGAGAAAAAGGATAAGCGTCACAGGGACTTGCTTGGACTCGAGGAACGCAAGCTCGGCTTGGAAGAGGCCAAGACCGAGATCAGCCGCCAAGGCATGGAAGGACTCATCGCGGCCGTCAACAATCTCGCCAATGCGATCCTCACGCTCGTCTCAGATCGACAGCAACCTCCAGGCTGACTGCTCTAATCTCGTTTCCTTCTTTCTTTCTTGTTGATTATTCTTACCTGACCACCGGCCGCCACTCGAAGATTAATTTTTTCTTTTTCTTTTCCGTGATTTTTTCCCTGAAATTTTTTTCTCAGCCTGTCGGCTGAACTGCTGTATCTTTAACCGTTTTTCTTTAATTTCTTCCGCGTTGTTCCTCTGTAAGATCTGGAAAAAAAAGAGAGACGAGGTTACATCCTCTCGATGGTTACCACTGTTTTTTGCTTCATAACTACGTGAAAAAAGTGCCCACCAACGAGAGGTTACTATCAGACCAAGGTACACATGATGAGTATGACTGCCTTCGATTGAGCAGCAATCCTGGAAAAAAAGAGAGAAGGAATTGACGGATGTCTACTCCTCTAGACTGAGGGAAAATAGTACCTCACACGTTGAAACGAAAGAGCATCACGTCGCCTTCCTGTACAACGTAGTCTTTGCCTTCTGATCTTAGCTGTGCAATTAGCACATATGAAAATTCAGCGGGTCAGAACTGTGGCAAAAAGAAAAAGCAAGCAAGGCTCACCAGTCCCTTCTCTCTCGCGGCCTGTAGCGAGCCAACCGATACGAAATCTTTGTAGGCAACCTGCACGGGAGAACGCAAGACTTCAAGATTTGAGGAAACGAATCCTTTCCTCCAAATTACCGTCTCAGCTCTTATGAATCCACGCTCAAAATCCGAATGTATTACGCCCGCTGCTTGGGGCGCAGTCATGCCTGTGATGTGTCAATGACGAGCTCTCCACTCACCATCTTGTTAAGCAAAAAAGCCTGTCAAAAGTACCTGACTTGATCGTCCATGCCTTGGTCTCCTGCATATCAGTGTGAGAAGGTTTAGGATTCGTTCGTATACCACTAGCACATGAACCTTTTCTCCGGTGGTGAAGTACGTCCGTAATCCCAGAAGGCTGTAAGTTGCTTTAACAAGAGATCCAAGTCCACCTTCAGCTGCTCCAAGTGACTCCAAAAACTCTTTCCTCTCCTTGGCATCAAGTTCCGCAAGCTCCGATTCTACCTGATTAGAGAAGAAAAGACAAAGAAAATATCAGAGCCTAAAAAATGGAATACGAAAGACGTACACACGAAAACAATGAAATAATGCATACACAATTCCATGAGGAGGAGAGAATTACTTGAGCAGAAACAACCACTGCTTCGGAGCCGAGATCAGCAGCTGTCTTCACAACCCTCTGAACGTACTCGTTTTTAGAAGGGTCTCCGAGGTCTGTCTCAGCTACGTTGGCAGCATATATAACGGGTTTCATCGTGAGTAGACACAACTGTTGGACTTGTTTCCTCTCATCGTTGGAAAGGTCGACGGTTCTTGCGGCCTTTCCAGCCAGTAAAGCCTCGTTTATCCTCTCTAGTGCAGCAGCTTCCATATCTTCCTGAAAAACCGCGTTATCCTTCATAGGATTGTTTTACCCATGCGAACCTTGGCTTTGGTTTGTGGATCTTTAGCTCTCCCCTTTTTAAGCTTCTCCAATCTTTTCTCGATCTGGACGAGAAAATCTCATTTAGATGACAACAAAACTTGCAACTTGAGGTTAGACCTGTGCGATATCAGAAAATGCAAGCTCCAAGTTGATAATGTCAATGTCTGCCTCCGGATCAACTTTCCCATTGACATGGAGGATGTCCGAGTCGTCGAAACACCTCACAACCTGCCGAAAGCACACAGTGAAAGGGAAATGAAGAGAAAAGAGAGAAACAATATTTAAGAGCGAAAAAAAGAAAATGGAGAAAGGAAACTTACCTGGACAATCGAGTCAACTTCACGTATGTGCTGAAGAAACTTGTTACCAAGGCCCTACACGATCACACAATGGATAGTTATTGAACTGGTTGTTTGTGTCACTAGAAAGTGGAAAAAAAAAAAAACTCTTACCTCACCTTTACTCGCACCTTTGACGAGCCCAGCAATGTCCACAAACTCCATGCTAGCGGGCACAGTTTGCTTGGAGCTACTTATATCGGTGAGCACGCTCAAGCGAGTATCTGGAACTGCCACAATTCCAACATTCGGTTCAATCGTGCAGAAGGGAAAATTCGCTGCCTGAGCTTTGGCATTCTCTACCTACAAAAACAAAGAGAAGAAATCCAAGATATAGCTAGCACTAGGCAAGTAAGAAACAAAAACAAGAAGAAACCACCAGCCTAGACACATTTTAAATTCTGCTTACGTACCAGAGCATTGAAGAGCGTGGATTTGCCGACATTAGGGAGCCCTACGATGCCGGAGCGCAAGCTCATGCTGATCTTGGAGGACATTCCTCGCCGGAACAGCCATAGGGCGTGCTGGCGCGGGAAAAGCCCCACATTGCCACCAATTCCTGGAGAAATCCATAGCGACACCGATGACGATGTCAGGGACGAGGAGGAAGAGAAGAATGCCACCGCTGGCCTAGCGCCAAGTAATCTAGGCATCCCTCCCTCCAGAAGAAAACCTTGGGGGTTTATCTCTATCCCTAGGTCCGGGGTTCGAATCCCGGGAAAGCCAACCACGAGGTGGTTTGTGTTCGAATCCGGGGAACGCCGCTTTAAGAAACCTCAATTGTTTTAAAATCCCAAAGCCTGGTATCTCTGGAACAAGGAAATTATTCTACCATGTGGAAGCGTCAAATTTTTCAACTCGTTGTCACAGTGGTGTTGATCGATCCTCGTGAAATAAAGAGCTTGTGAGACTTACACTGGAAATATTTTTTTCATAGACGTCTGTAAGAACTGTACACAGGATTTTAGCACTGGATGCTCGATTTGTATCGTTCTGTGGAGAGAAAAAAAAAAAAGAAGGAAAAAAGTAGTGTGTTGATCTGATCTCTCCCTGAAAGTTTAGAAGAAAGCTCGGCTGCCATAGAAGACCCTGGGCGTATTAGAACTAGTCAAGTTTCTCTTACCTCCACCGCTGCTCTCACCACTCCTCTCGGAGCCACTGCTAGAGTTGTTGTTGTCATTCGTGTTCTTGGTGTCTTTGCTGTTAGTCGTCTCCGAGGAGGCGGCCTCGTCCAGCTTGATCAATCCGTTCTCGTCCACCGGGAGCTGCATCTTTGCAAGAGCGTCGGAGAATTGCTGCATGCTCCTGGTGTACATGTCCATGATCTCCTGCTGCATTATCCTCGGCTCCGGCTGGATCACAGGCTTGCTCACGAAACCAAACTTTGCGGCCTCCTCGTCCCTCATTACTCCGCCCTGTCCACCACCGCCGAGCTCCGCAGCTCTGCCATGTTTCTCCTCGTCCGCCTTGCTGATGGAGAGATCCTCCTTCGGCTTCGAGCTGGGAGTGGGAGTTACGCCGTTACTGACGGACGATTCCAGCAACGATGGGCTCGCCGGAACGTCTAGCTGCTTGAGTCCGGGCTTGGAGATGTTTTCCTTCTCACCGCCGCAAGCTGCTGGAGCCGAGAAGAGTTTATCCGTCCCTTGTTCTACCACCGACTGCTCGTCGTCCAGCTCCGGAACTTCATCTTCCGACCGCGCCTCCTCCGCTGCTAAACTCTTCCTCACAGCCGAGCAGTCGAGCTTGAGAAACGGAGGACCTGTGTAGATACCATCGTCCTTGGCAGCCGCTTCCACATTCTGTTTCCTCTGGATGAAATCCGAGACGAGCTCCTCGTCCTCCCGAGCGTCGGCAAGGTCCGCAAAAGCCACCACCTTGGAGTCTATGCCGTCGAGGCTGCTGGCCGAGAGGTTCGAGGTGGTGGAGTTGCACACCGTCACCTCGCAATCGTTGCTTTCTTCTGGGCTTGCCTTGTCACCGAGCTTCGTGATCTCTTCAAACTTGAGACTCATGGTGATGCTTCCTGCCGGTGAGTGGAACAGCTCCGTGGACGAGAGCTCAAACTCGTTAAACTCCTTGTCTTTCCCGACCAGTGTGGACAGCGGTATGGTGACTGCCCCCAGAAGCTGGTCCTGGAGATAGTCGCGCATCTTGCTGGCCATCCACACCTCGCACCTCAAAGCACGGTCACTTTGCACGAGAGAAGTGCAAAACTTCTGGTTGAAAACTGGATCTTTACCTCCTTTGTCGACCACCTCCGTGTAGAACGCTGTTGGCCCGCTCCCGCCGGCGGCGTCGTTGAGCGATAGCTTGGCGTACACGTCCTGCTTGGCGTAAATGCAAATGTTGTGGAGGTTGCGAGCTTGGTGAACTTCCACTTCCAGAATGCCGCCAGCAGCGCTGGCGGGAGCACCGTTTGCAGCAGCCTGGCCCCGCACGGGCGGGTGCTCGGCGGTGAAAGGAGCAAAACCATTCGGAAACTCGGACGACGCCATCGCTCACAGCTAGAAAAGCAAGAAAAACACTAGAGCTCTCAGACACAAGAGATGGTTTGGACAGAGAAGAAGCGCTTCAAGAGCGTTACGAAGGGATATTGCGGAGATAAAGCTCACGGCTCAAAAAGGAAAAGCTGGAGACCCGAGCAGAAAAACTAGACTAGAAAACAGTTTTTTAGATTCGTCTAGCACAGGAAGCTGCCACAGTGACCCCTGAAGACCATGAATATGTCATAAGGAGACGTGTAGCGTTTAAACAAAGACCAGACGAGGCTCCGGGAAAAAAGAATTGAAAAAAAAACGACTCAACAGTGAAACCATGTAGCCTCTCGCTCGGCCAGAGGAAATCTCGCTGCCTAGACCGCCACAGGAGGCACTGCTAACCCTACAATCGTGTTCTCTGGGGAACAGGAGACGAATTTCGCAGCTCTCGACTCGACTCTCTAGGATCGAGCACAAACCTCGGGAAACCGCCGTCGCGCAGGAGGGAAATCCACGCCGGCCACCGAAATGTGAGGCGAATTTGAGAGCGCGCGCATCCAATCGCGAGGAACACGAGCGCCCGCCAGAAGCGAGAGAAGTAGAAATGGAAATAGGGGTTTTGTTCTTCCCCAGTGAGCAACGTCTTTGACCATCCGTCAGTCATATCAACCCCTTTGACTAAAGTAGGATATTCCGCTCAAAAGAAAGCGGTGTTGGATCGTCAATATTTAGTGACGTGTTGGCTCCTTTTTTATATTAAAATCCCATATATATATATATATATATACTTGTTATTTACAGTAATTTTTGGTTTGCTTAAGCAAACGATTGGGATGGTAGTGGATATATTTAAAATATATTTAAATATTTTCGAATATTCTACCATCTAACGGTTGTTATTCATTTAAATT